GTAGTGACCCAAATAGTGAGACAGACAGGAGCGACCTGTTCTAAACCAATGTTCCCTTTGGGGGTTGTGTAACTGATTAGGTTTCTAGATGGGTGGTGATCTTGCTTCTTAGGCCCCTTTTCAAAGATTTTTATGATATGGGATGTTAGTGCTATGGTCTGTAGTTCTTTGCTATTGTTTTACTGCCCCCTTTGTGGAGTGGGGCTGTCTGTTGTTTTTAGTAACTGTGGAACTACCCCCGTGTCCATGCTCCCTCTCCATAGGATGGTAAAGGCTCGTGATAGGGGCTTCTTGCAGTTCTTGATGAACACCGAGTTCCTTTGAGTTGGCCCTGGGGCAGAGTGCATGGGCAATGTCTTTTTATCGCCTTTTTTCGAAGTCATTGGCGTCAGGATAACATCGGATGGCTTGTGTTACCCAAAATTCTGTGGCTCTCCCATAAGAAATTCATTTTGATCTTCGACTCTCAGTCTGGTTAGTGGCTTGCTGAAAACTGAGTCATATTGTGACTTGAGCAGCTCACAATTTCCTTGCTGTCATCTGTGTAGGCCCCATCTTGTTTAAGTAGGGGCCCAATACTGGACGTTGTTCTCGACTTTGAATTGGCATAGGAAAAGAAATACTTTGGGTTTCTTTCGATTTCATGTATGGCTTTTAGTTCTTCCCGCGATTCCGGGACTCTAAAAGATTCCTTTAGCTTAAGTTCGATGCTTGCTATTTCTCTGACCAGTTTTCCCCCCTACGCATTTCAGAATATTGCCCTCTTTTAGCCACTCTGTTTTTCTTTTCCGTCCCCTGTTAATGGAGCGCCTGTTCTTTTCTATTTTCATCTACTCCTCCTTTTCTTAGAGGAATAAGCCTTGTGCATACATCGAGTGCCACCAAGTTAATCTGTTCTGGGCATAAGTTGGGGTCTGTGTTGCTTAGTATATCTTCCCAGCTTATATCGGTTAGGACTTGGTTTACTTGGTCCCACTTTATGTTTTTGTTATTGAAGTTGAATTTGGTGAATGCTCCTCATGATAATCTCATTATTTCGGTCTGGGGCTCCGCGCATACATGTCTTAACCTCCCAATTATGTTGTGATCTGAGTATATTGTTTTTGATATGGTGACATTTCTTATCAGATCATCATTGTTAGTGAAGATGAGGTCTAGTGTATTCTCCAGTCTAGTAGGCTCTATTATTTGCTGGTTTAAATTGAATTTTGTGCAGAGATTTAAAAGCTCGTGTGAGTGTTGAATTTTCATCAGAGCTGCCCTCTTTGGGGTATTGCTGGCAACAATATTATGTGCTATATTCCTCCATTTTAGGTGTCTTAAGTTGAAATCCCCCAGGAACAAGATATTGGGTGCAGGAGCTAGAAGATTTTCCCGACAGTGGTCAATTTTTAACAGCTGTTTTTTGGAATTGCTGGGATGTTGCATCCGGAGGCTTGTAGACTACCACAATGACTAGGTTTTGGTTCTCGATCTTTACTGCTAAAACTTCCACTACATCATTTGAGGCATTAAGTAGTTCTGTGCAAACAAGTGACTCTGCAATGTACAGGCCAACCCCCCCCCCCCTTTTTGCCTGTTCACTCTGTCGCATCTGTATGGGTTGTAACCTGGGATCCATATTTCGTTGTCCAAGTGATCCTTTATGTGGGTCTCAGTGAAAGCCGCGAACATTGCCTTTGCTTCTGCAAGCAGTCCACGGATGGAAGGTATTGTGTTGCTTGTTGCTGGCTTTAGACCCTGTATATTTGCAAAGAAGAATGTCATCGGACTGGTGGTTTTGTTGGTACTGGGGGGGGATTTTTTTTCCGGCAATAGTATCTGTATATGTTGGTTTGGAGTGGAGGCCATCGACTGTGGTTCCATTCCAGGAATGACTGGATTTAGTGTACGATTTCTGCCATTTCCTGCCAGATTTTTTTCCTTCCTGGCACTAAAAAACCTCTCCGTCTTGAGTGGCTGTGGCTACCCAGGTTTTCCCATGGCCTAGATTTTTTGTATCTTTTTGTCCCCTTTAGATGGTGTGCCTGGCAATTTAAGTTATAGCATAGTCTTTCCTGTACTGAAGAGGTACACATTTCAGGGTGAAAAAGCTTACAGGAAGGGAGTTTGCATTTTCCTGTTGTCATATGGGCATGACATTTTCTAGGGTGGTCATTGTTGCACGTCCCATCTGTTTTTCCAGATTTCCCATGTCTGCAGATACCAAGTGTTTGTAGATGAATGGTTCAGAGAACCGACATGTTGATAAATTAGACACATGTGCAACTCTTGGGTATCTTTATTGAGGAAACGTTTCGCCACACAGTGGCTTCATCAGTCCATACAAAGGAGAATCTTGAAGAACAGGAGGAGAATGAGGGAGGTTGAGGGACTGATTACCTCATTCTCCTCCTGTTCTTCAAGATTCTCCTTTGTATGGACTGATGAAGCCACTGTGTGGCGAAACGTTTCCTCAATAAAGATACCCAAGAGTTGCACATGTGTCTAATTTATCAGATACCAAGTGCATAGTATGTGCACAGGCTTGGTTTCCATTTGCCTTGGGTTTCTGTGACTGTATTCCCTGTTGGTGCATGTTTCCCTGTCTTACTTCTATCCTCCCTAGCACCAACAATGGAGCTCCCACCAGTTGTTTTTGGTAATATATCCTCACTATTGCTAGTGGAGTCCTCTTGTTCGCTATTTCTTGTGGTATTTCTAGTTTGCAATATTGGTTTTATCTTATCTTTGACTACACTTGTTTCCCCACTACGGCTCCTGTCCCCTATGAGGTCATTTATATGTATTCCTTCCTGTGTATAATTCCCGACTACCTGGACAAAATCTCCAGCTTCACCATTTTACTGTCTCCCAGACAGCACTATCGGGCCCCACATTTACTGACAACCGGGACATCCCTCCCAGCCTTGCAGTTTCTGACTACATGGCCAGTATCAATGGCAGTACCATTCAGCCCAGACTTTTTATGTTCCCATCTGTTGTAAAAAAGCTTCCGGGTTTGTCTATGAAAGCAGCTTTGATGTTATCCTCTTTGATACCCTTGTGTTTTTTAGTCCACAGATTTATCTCATTTGGGCTTTTCCTCAAAACACTCCCTGTTTTAATATGCTTGTAGCTAGTTCTTGGATATTGCAAAAGGGGGGGCGTGACACCAATTTTCACAAAAATAACAATTTATCCATGTGGAAGCCTGTTTGTTTGATTGAGTGCAGACTACACAGAGCTTCATAATGATTTGAATGGTTGATTTACTGTAATTCTACTAACAACCTCTTGTATACTCTATTAATAACCTCCTTAAATGAAGCTCTAGCCATTTGTATTTCTATTTCTAACTGTACTTGTATATTGGACAGCTTACTGTGTACGTTCCTGATTTGTATTTATTGTTTGTGTTTGATAAGGGCGCCTACAACCCCATCCATTTACAGTCTGCTTTATTGTCCAATGAATCCGTTTGAAACCAGTCAACTAGAAAAGCTAGATACAATGATTGATAAACAAGGGTTGAGGCTCGACCATTCGTCATTGTAGGAGCTGCCAGCAATCACCGGTTCTTCAACACGCAAGTTATACTTTTGTATCAATCAAATCACATATTACTCGGGTAGATAATTTCCAGTAGATCCTTCATGCATTATCCCAAATCACCGACCAGTATTTTAGCATACATACAGAGGTACAAAAAAATACAGGTAAGAGCAGCATGCCAAAGCCACTTATATGCATAGCATTACGGGCTGGCTTAAAATTAACTGAAGATTAACTAAGGAATGATGAAATCAGTGATAAGACATTATTGTAAACAGATAACTATAAAATACAAATGAGTATTACAAAGACAGGTCATATGGTTGCATGCATTGCTGTTCATTCAGTAGAATGGAGTATTCTGTTAGGTAGTGTATTTAAAACAAAAAAAATATAACAAAGTAAGGTTTAACATTTGTGTGATATAATTGTGAGTAACATTTAGGATATACAATTTATATGGTTCAGTTATTCAGTATTTATTTGGTTTTGAGTGAGTAAGTGAAATTTGAGAAGAGACTTGAATTTATAAACAGGTAGTGTTTCTTTTATATTTACAGGTAATGAATTCCAGATTTAAGGGCCTTTTATGTGCATTGAGTTTTTGCATAGCGTGAGATGGACACGAGGAACATCAAAGAGTGATCTGTGCCTTGTATTATGGTCATGTGTTCTGTTGAGGTTGGCAAGGAGATGTTTGAGGGGAGGGTTAATATCAGAGTTAAGTGTTCTATGTATGTAATAATTAGTTTAGTTTAATATGTTTATTATGCACCCCATACCCATCCTGTGGGCGGTAGTCAAAAGATTACAGAGGTACATAATTGGTCCAGGGACTAGACTCCAAAGTTTTGATAGCTGAGCAAGTTACAAAGGTAATGAACTAGATCTTCATAATCATGACCAAGTTACAAAGGTAATGAGCTCCAGGTTGAGCTGGTTCACACTCATGAATAATTGCAAAGGTAATGAATCATAACACATTAATCATGAGAATTTTTCAAAGGTAATTTAGCTCCAGGTAGAGCTGGTCACAATCATGAGTAAGTTTCAAAGGTAATGAAGATAAACACGTTATGACATGATTACAATCATAGACAAATTACAGAGTAATGAGCAGTTAACAAACATAGTAGGGAATTCAAACCATTGCCCCAACAATAGATGTTGCTAGGTGCCTGTTTTCTCCTCGGTAGACAGCCATTGCAAACAGCAGCAAGTTTTCCCCGGGATTGCTGCTTGCACGAGCACCATCGACCCTCCCCAAGAGGTCCAAGAAGCCAGTGACTCCGTTAGCAGCCCGATGGAGAGCTGTCCTAGGGACATGTCAGCGTCCTGGTGGACGCCAAGTTGATTGAAGATCCCAGGCCCTCGTGTGCACGGATGTTGAAGCTTGAGGAACTGAGTACACACTGCCTGTGGCACACCTGGCAGCTGCCTCGCGGTCGAACTCCACGATGCTGTCCTTCCAAAGTTTCAGGATGTTCTTCTGAAGAATATTACTCAACTCCTGCTCCTTTTTGGAAATTTTTTTAATGCCTGATAACCTTCTTATGAAGATCAGAGAGAGAGCTGAAAACATTTGCCCACGAGAACTTGCCAATATGCAGCTCCTTGTAAATGTTCATAGTAGTCTCTAAACTTTTGCTGAATATAAAGATGACATTGATAGAGGGTTGATGAGAATTTGGAAACTTTTTTAGTCCCAGTTGCTGTAGCTCACCACAATCAGGTGCTAGAACAACCTCTACCAGCAGTCCTGGGTTGATCAACTCTGATGTCAATATACAAGGCTTCTGTGTTTGTGTCAATTCTTGAGTGAGCTGGAGGAATGCTGAGCTGTGACATGAGATACTAAACACTGACACAGTCTTCCCTTGAATGCATGTAGGATATTTACATGATAGTAAAGACTGCTCACTCTGCAAGATCTTACTCCAAAGGTCATCATATTCTGTGATGCATGTCATCTTTAACTTTCCACCAAGTCCAGGGATAAGTGTGTTGTACTGTGACCATATTATTGCTGGCCCAAGATCCCGCTTTCCCACAAGTAACTGGCCATTCCAGATGTCCCATAATTCATCCATCTCTTTTATACTTTAATTAGAGGATAGTTGGTGTTGAAGGCGGCGCTGTTCCTCAGTCTTGTTTATGTACGAATGGTATATAATACCGACAAGATGAGATTAAGACATATGTACAACATCTGGGCATCCCCACTGTAGACGCCTCGCCATCCAGTGGCCCCATCAATACAAATTCCAGGACACAACCCGAAGACAGCAAAACCATGCACAGAAGATGAGGCAATCAGCCCCCCAACCCAGGAGCAGGTGCGAAGAGCATCACAGTCGTGGAGATTCCGAAGCAGAAGACAGGATCCTGGCGCTTATATAGTAATGTCAGGTGTAGCAGACAAGGACATAGTCACTGGTAGGCGGGATATCCCAGTGGAAGTAGGTCCTTCCCAAAGAGATGGGTTAGTTGTAGTAGTAGTTGTAGTAGTAGTTGTAGTAGTAGTTGTAGTTGTCGTAGTCGTGAAGGTTATGTACATGTCCTCAGAATTAAGATTCCATGATGTTGCAGTGTCTGACAAGTTGTGTACGAATGCTTCAGAATCTCCACGACTATGGCGCTCCCCAGACCCACTCCCAGGCCGAGGGACCGACCACCTCATCCCCCACACACAGCTCCACTGTCCCCAAGCTATGTCCCAGAATTTGCATTGACAAAGCCACTGGACGGCGAAACGTCCACAACAAAGACACCCAGATGTTGTACATGTGTCTCAATCTCAGTCTTGTTTATGTTGGGTTTTGTATGTAATAAGTGCAATAATAAGTGTGGATGTTTTGTATGGTGAGTAGGTTGAGTGTTTTGAATATTGGTGGAGTGTGCTGCCTGTAGTGAGAATTTGTTATCATTCTAACTGCAGCCTTTTGTTGGGTAATTAGTGGTCTGAGATGGTTAGTTGTTGTTGAGCCCCATGCACAAATTCCATAGGTGAGTGTAGTGATACTGGTCCTGTGGGGAGCAGCAGCAGGATAATACTGCACCACCTCTTGGGGCCCTTAACAACAACAACAGTTTGGTGTGTGTCATAGGCGCCAACACATGGTGTGTGATTCTCTCCTACTATATCCATTTATCAGTGATGCAGATTACATGGTGAGTTTAAATATGTGGCCTGTAGTTATAACTTTTCTCTTGACATATGCAAGACATCACCATCCCTGTAGAAGCCATTATTAGATGTACTAGTCATTATATTTTGTTGTTGCAGAAGTACTATGAAGATTCTATGTTCAATAAAGCCTAGAGATAAGGCCTGTGTTTCTATCACAACAGTGAGATAGGGGTAAATAAGAGAGTGATAAAGGGCCAGGAGGGCTGACTGTGGAACATAGTACCGTATCTTCGATAGTATGCCTACAGTCTTGGAAATTTTCTTAGAAATTTGTTGTATATGTGTATGAAATTTGAGTCTATTATCAAGGTGGATTCCTAAGAATTTTCCCTCTGTTAGCTTTGTGATAGGTGATCCGTTTATCATTATGTTAAGAGGTACATCTGTAGCTCTGTTACCAAACTGAATGAAGTAGGTTTTGTCAATGTTTAGTGTAAGTTTGTTAGTCCTCATCCAGGTAGATATTTTCTGTAATTCGGTGTTTACAGTATTGGCTAGCGTGACTGGGCTCGGGTGAGAGAAGACGTATGTAGTGTCATCTGCAAAAAGTGTGGGTTTGAGTAATTGTGAAGCATTTTGTAGGTCATTTATGTATAGGAGAAAGAGAAGAGGGCCAAGGACACTTCCCTGTGGGACACCAACTGTAATTGGTTGTGCGGAAGAGCTTGCCCCATTTGCGTACACATATTGGCTTCTGTTGCTGAGGTAAGACTTGAGGTAGTTGAGGGAGTGCCCTCTAATACCATAGTGAGACAATTTTACGTGGAGAAAGTCATGGTCAACTGTATCAAAAGCTTTACGTAAGTCAATGAAGATCCCCAGTGGGACTTCTTTTTTCTCTATTAAGATAAGATAAGATAAGATAAGATTTCGTTCGGATTTTTAACCCCGGAGGATTAGCCACCCAGGATAACCCAAGAAAGTCAGTGCGTCATCGAGGACTGTCTAACTTATTTCCATTGGGGTCCTTAATCTTGTCCCCCAGGATGCGACCCACACCAGTCGACTAACACCCAGGTACCTAGTTGCTGCTAGGTGAACAGGACAATAGGTGTAAGGAAACGTGTCGGAATTTCCACCCGCCGGGAATCGAACCCGGGCCCTCCATGTGTGAAGCGGGAGCTTTAGCCACCAGGCCACCGGGCTGTATATATGTTCTAGCATGTGTAATAATAGGCATCTTGAGTATTGTTTATTAGGCCGAATCCCAAAAATTGGCAGGGGTTTTGAGAAATGTATGGAGATGAGGTAGGAGTAGATTCGTTTATGAATTAATTTTTCGAAGATTTTTGAGAGAGGGTGTAAATTGGATATTGGCCTATAGTTATTCAACTCTGTTTGGTCTCCTCCTTTATGGATCGGGGTGACCCTTGCTATTTTGAGAACTGTAGGGAAGGTGAAGGATTCAATGGATTTGTTAAAGAGTGTTGCAATGATTGGTGATAGTACTTTGATGGACGCTTTTTTGTATATAAAGGGTGGTAGGTATTTAAATCACCTGCCTTGTTTTTCAGTGCCTTGAAAATAAGGGAGACTTCGTATGGGTTTAGTCGGAGCTAGAACATAGTGGTTACGTAGTTTGCCAAGTGAAGGGTAGTCCATTTGGTGGGGTATCTGAGCTTGGGATATTATTGGCAAGGTTTTGACCCCCTATAGTGGAGAAGAAATCATTGTGTCTGTTTGCTGTTTCCTGTTGGTGGGAGTTGGGGTTCATTTGGATTTTGCTAATTTTATTTCGCTATGTCGTGATATCTTTTTTGTTTCCCAGAATTTCTGATAGGGTCTTTTTCCAGGTCTTTTTTATATCACCTCGTAAGTTGGATAATCGTGTTCTCATAATACAATTTTTTTTGCCCTTCTTATCAGGCTGGTTAGGATTGACGAGTAACGTTTTTGTTTGGTCTCATGGTTATGTGACCCATTCTGTACTGTTTTTCATATCGGTGTTTTGTATTTATGGATTTGAGAATGCTGGGTGTTAGCCAGGGACTGTTCAGTCTCTTAGCTGTCATCTGTTTAGTTTTTTTAGGGCAGTGCTTGTTATAAAGGTGTTGGGTCTTTTTTAGAAAATTATTAAAACATTCGTCAATATCTGTATAGATTTCTAGCTCAGTGTGCCAGTCAATGGTTGTATGGCTGTGTAACCAGGAATGGCATAGACATCTGTAGTATCAGGCTTTAGCCAGGTTTCAGTTAGTGCAATGATGGACATACTGGCATGCAAGGAATTTAGTAATGCTAGGTCATCATAATGCTTGCTTAAAGATCTGATATTGTAGTTAAAGATAGTTATGTTGTTGTTAGCTCTGAGAAACAATTCTGGATCGTGCTATACATGTTTGACAGGTAGGCTGGCTCTGTCTATCTGTCTGTCTAGTTCTGTTTGTCTGTCTAGCTCTGTTTATCTGTCTCTGCTTATGTCTTTCTCTCTGTCTGCTTGTCTCTCTGCTTGTCCCTCTGTCTCAGAGAGAGCCATTTGTGAACCAACAGGTATTACACACGACTGTGTCATCAAATCTGATTCCTGAACAAGTGTAAATAAGTATTACATGCCAGATTTCTCTTCTTTTAAGATTTTGCCCACCAAAGTTGCTAGTTTATTGTGCGTCCCCGTATCTCCATCCGGTGGATGGTCGTGCAAGAGCTTGTGGATACACAAAAGGCCTAGGAACTAGGCCTCAAAAGGTTTAACAGGTGTACATATGGATTTATATCTACATATCTACAGATCAACTTATCTGTTACCAAGCAAATTTAGGGGAAATTTAGCTTAGGCATATCCTGGTATCTTATTTTCCATTAACCATAAACTCACCAAACACAGATCTATGTTTATTTTCAACATTTGAAAAATATGTAAAAAAGAGTAGATCTTTTTTTCTTTTTGATATACATTTGAAAATGTGAAAAAAACTTTGATCTACCATTTTTTTTTTTTGTTATATTTGAAAATATGTAAAAAAAAAGTAGATGTACTTTTTGGAGTCACTACGCATGGAAACAGAGATCTGTGGTGGACAGTTTAAGGGTTAAATGATAGATATCTTGACATGTCACGTAGGTTGTTATGCTGTTTATCTCTGTAACAGTGGACCCCCCGCATAACGCTATTAATCCCGTTCCTGAGAGCTCAATGTTAATGCAAAAATTACGTTATGCGAATTAAAATTTTCCCCTTAAGAAATAAAGGGGAAATCAAATATAATCCGTGCAAGACACCCAATAGTATGAAAAAAATAAATTTTTTACCACATGAAAAATTAATTTTGGGATACACACAAACTTTAAGAAAACATGCACAGTCACATAACATCTTACGTTATTTTTGGGGAAGATTGGTGATGATTGATGGGATGGAGTAGGGGCAGACTGGATGGTTTTTAGTGTATTAAAGGGTAATCACCTTCCATTAGGACTTGAGGTGTCAAGTCCTTTTCCGGGTTTCTTCCCTTCTTTTAAATGCCACCTAGGACCACCTTCAGAGTCACTGGACTTCTGTCCGCACAACATATCTGTCCAAGTGGCCTGTACCCTCTCGTTCCTTTTTATGACTTTCCTAAAGTGTTTCACAACAGTGTCAGTGTAATCGTCTCCAGCACAGCTTGCAATAGCTGTCTGAGGATGATTTTCATCAATGAGGTTTGGCCACTTCAAGCCACTTTGCACAGATTATCCTTAATCTTTGAAGTAGGCACTTCTCAATCTTTCTCTCTCCCCCGCTCTGAAGGGCAAATTTCCTCAGGGTGTGGCCTCTTGCTGTTTGAAGTTGATCTAGCAGCTCATCAGGTTGAGTTCTTCATTGTCCTCCTCACCACTCTTCACATCCTCCCACTAACTCCAACCCCAAAGGACTTCCCTCAATGCCACATTTGATTCCTCAATTGGCATAGATTCTCAGGTTAGCCCTCAATCCTTCAGAATCCCTTTGGTCTACATATGTCC